CGTTTCCTAGCAACGCCTAGTGGATATATAGAACATTTTATGTGTGCTGCAATAAATTGACTTCTAGAGCTCATAGGCCCGTGAAACAGTTATACTTAAGAGCTTTAAGTATTCAGTAAATCCAATTATCAATTCAAACCGCGTGTCTAGTCACTAACACGCGACAATACGTATAAATACTACACTCTATGGGCAGCGTGCTGAGTTTTCTGGTACATATACACGTATGCATACTGACCATTCCGTTTTAAAGGGTGAGCAGCGTGGAATGTAGAATCGCCGATATATCCAGTTATATTAAGGATTTCCGTACTCTTTAAATCGACAGTCTGGCCACCCGTGATATGAAGAAACAACAGGAATATAGCTGTAGACTTTACAGTCACCACCATCCCATTTTCCTTTTCAAGAGCGTCATTTTCCCCTGCAGTTTGTCATATGCTGTTGTCTTGGTAAGTCCTGTTTGTGAACAGGGCTACTTTGCATAAATTCTAGTCCATAAAAATATTATTCTCGTACTCAGGGGCAAGGCAAACACTGGACCACTTCTTAAATTAAACTTATGAATATTTTAGTGAAAGATGAGACTGCTTTATGACTTGTTCTGAGGAGGGTCCTAGTGCAGCACGCATGTACCATCTCGAAAGCATTGTTCCAAACCGCCTATTTTTCGGAATTTTCACTAATAATTTCTAGCCCAATTTCATTTCAATCTCATCCGCTGAAGTCTAACATAAACCCTATATTTTATGAAGCTCAATTGCGAATTTAAAATAGTTTTTAAAAATTAAAAAACTCTGGTATGCAAAACAAATCACAGCTCTTATCAATATTTGATATTTTAGTCTGGTGATGTTTTCCACGTGTTACACGGTCAAGTAAATTCAAAGGAAAGTAGCATACATCTCTTCATACTGTTGCCATCAGTTTAAGCTGGGACTCTGTATAAGGGGGGTACACGGACATAACTTTTTAAATAGGTAAATTGAAGTTATCCCCGTACTTAATTGATTAAGCTTGACGTTATGAATGCATATTAGTGGATATCTATGAAGAAAGCAGTCTTCTGGGATTTGGCACCGTGTATATGTGGTGTTAACCGACGTTTCGGAGGAACGTATAGCCTCCATCTTCAGGGTAGAAGAAAGCAGTCTGCTTTTACCGGTTCTCACGGTCTCTTCGCTTTGCAGATTTCTTATATTTTTTCTTCTACCCTGAAGATGGAGGCGATACGTTCCTCCGAAACGTCGGTTAACACCACATATACACGGTGCCAAATCCCAGAAGACTGCTTTCTTCATAGTCACCGCCGTGAAAGCCTCAAATCTTATATAGTGGATATCTAGTTCTCCCATTCTTGACCTCGGTACTGGATGGAGGTGAGGAGCCAGGACATTAGCCCTGCCACTTTACTCAGGCGGAGGCAGCCTCCGATATCCGTTGTATAGCCGGCCCCAGAGCCGGTCTGCAACATATGAAGAAGGTAAAGAAAAATCTCTCGCCCGGAATTCAAGCCCATTTCCTTGAACTTAAGCCAGTGGTCTAGTCGCTATGCCGACTGGGCTGCCCCGAATCTTCATCCATTCCATCAAACATTCACAAATCGCACCGCAGTTAGACGATATATAATATAACCAAGAGAACAGAATAGAATCAGAAATCGAACATTGAAAGGCACATACATATAGGTCTAGATTTAGCGTCGTTTACAAGGCTACGGTCAAATTATTTCCCTGGAAAATTAGACACATCTAAATTTAGAGAAAATCTACTTTCAGACAAGGAAACATTGAACACACATGCTTTAGTGTTCTGCAAGAAGGCAAAGAAGAAATAAAGAACCAGTTCAGTTGAGAGTTTAGAGTCCAACTGTGAAGAAAAAGTTAGTTGCAAGAGTGCGGCTGTGACGAGAAGACTTTATGTGCATCGTAGTTACAGTGGGGACTGCTATAATTTCTTTTTCTGTGGCGCTACAGCCCCAATTTGGGCCTAGGCCTACCTCCATGAAACTCTCTATTTCACTTCGGTTTACTATATCTTACACATTCGGTAGGACTCCTTGGACGAGTGATCAGCTCGTCGCAAGGCCTCTACCTGTACACAAACACAGAAAAACGCACACCAACATCCATGCCCTGAGTGGGATTCGAAACCACGATCCCGGCTTCCGAGCGAGTGAAGACAGTACATGCCTTAGACCGCTCGGCTACCGTGACCGGCAGACTGCTATAATTACAGTGTTAAAATCCGTTGCCAAAATATGACTAGTGAAGCCGGAGAAGACTTAGCGTGTACTAGTGACTTGTAAAATGTGGAGATCAACCATAGCGTTAAAATTACTTGTAGTTCCCTGTAGTGTGTATAATTGGTCAATAAATCCAACATCAAATCCATACCCCGTCTATAGTCACCCTTGAATCGTGACAGTATTGAAGTAAGAGACAGACTTTTCGGTCCCAATTATGAGAAACAGCCACATGAAGGTCGCGGGTTCGATTCCACATGAGGTGAATTTCTCTTTCCATTTATCTAATCCTTCCAGCCGCACTATAGCCCTAGTGTCGACTCAGCCTGTAACAGAAATTAGTACCACGAATCTTCCTGGGTGGGGGAGGGGTAAAAGGCGACCTGCACGTAAGGCTGACAACTTTACCGCCATCTATGAGCTGATTGTCTAGAAAGTGTGGGAACCTCGACGTCTCTCAACCCTATGGGCCTCCACGGCATGTTACAAGGATACCTTTACTTTTCCCTTTTACCAGAGCATTAACATCACCAGGGGCACGCGGCAGCGTAGTTGGTTGAGGCATTGTGCTACAAGCCGGAAGAGCGAAGGTTTGAATTCCGATCAGGTGGATATTTTCAATTGACCTAATCCTTCCAGCCGCACTATGGCCCTGGGGTACACTCAGCCTCTAACAGAAATGAGTACCAGGAATCTTCCTGGGGTGCAATGGGCTACCGGAGCGTAAGGCTGACAACCTTACCACCATTTGTGAGTCCATTGTCTAGAAAATGTGGGCGCCTCAACGATCACTCAACGATCACCGCAACTTCCCTTAAAAAGTAAAATATTTTTGTTGAATTTTACCCACGAGTAATATTTATTTTTCAGAATTTTCTTTATACTGGCAAGTAATGCAAGGGAATTTGAGTTAAACTATAAGAGATGGCAAGTTAATCATATATTTATGGTTACCTGCACATTCATCATCATCAGTAATCTGTCAGACGACAGGTCCACAGTCTCTTCCAAAACAATTCTTCCACTTAATGCGATCTAGAGCTTTCTCCTTCAAATAACAGTATCCTCTTCTATTCCCAAGGTCATCCAGCATCTTCTTACGTCTTCTTCCTCGTCTTCTTGTCACTTCTATCCTCCCCTCTATCTTTCCTTCAATAACTTCTTTTAGAAGGCAGTTTCTGCGTAAAACATGACCAATCCAACTAGCCTTCCGTTTTCTTATTTCGTGTAGGATATTCCTCTGCTCACTGACCTGCACATTATCCCAGTATATTTACAAATTAGTGCAGAAACAAATGACGGAATAACCAGGAAGACATAACGCCAAAAAGACTAGGAAGGAAGGTAATAAGGAAGCCTCTGCATTCGTAAGCAAGAATACCTTGCGTTAAGCGAAAAGTGAAGTTGAATCCGTCCCTGGGAACCACACCATTAAGGATAAGAGAAGCACGGAATAAGACTTCACATATTGCAGTCTCGTTAATGGAAGGATGCCTGATTTCTTCTGCGAAGGAGGAGAACCTCATCGCTTTCAGATGTGTTTTAAAGTTTTTCATTGTTTGTTATTGTACCCAGAAATTCATTTCAAGTTTACATGGGATATATCACATTTACTTGTTACTTCTTTTACGGTTAAGTAGATTGTAAATTAGCAAAAATAATAATAAAAAAAAGTTTACATGGATCTGCGTGGAATTCTATCCTGAAACATTTGAATCCAGCCAACATTCTCACACCCTAATGAGTCTTAGTATACGAGTAATTATATTTCTTTCGTTACTCTTAGTGAGGTGAGACTGAGCCCACTTGGTTCCGCTGCCCCAGTTACCCATTGTACCAGCTCCAGATGATATAGTGTATGAGGGTGATTGTGGAGCAATTGGTGCAATGAAGATTGGCAGGGAAACCGAAGTCGTCGGAGAAAACTTACCCCAGTACCACTTTGTCAACCATAAATACAAGATACATGACCTGGGTTCGAAATCAGGCCGCCGGATTGCAAGCCAACGATTACTAGCCTGAGCTACGGCAAGGCCTACGTCTCAGTATACCGAGAATGTTAGCTCAAGTGATAACAATTTTTTCTCTTTTTTTTTCCCTTGGCACTACAGCCCCAGTGGGCCTAGGCCTACGTCCATGAACTTCTCCGTTCACTTCTTTTTTTCTAAATATAACAAATTCGGTAGGACTCCTTGGGCGGGTGATCAGCTAGTCGCAAGGCCTCTACCTGTAGACAAACACAGAAGAACGCATACAAACATCCATGCCCTGAGTGGGATTGGAACCCACCATCCCGGCTTCCGAGCGAGCGAAGACAGTGCATGACTTAGACCGCTCGGCTACCGTGACCGACCAAGTGATAACAATAACCCTTTAAAATTCATTATACCTTATCAGACACTATATAATCTGAGCGCTTTTTATTGTAAACTACAGATAAATAACGCATTTTTTTCTATTTATGCACTTTTTACCCCAACTATTCCAACAGTTCAAATTATGTAGCTTCTTGAACCTGCAGCTACGCTCTACTTCTTCGGTGAAAGAGATACTGAATAATCCCTCGGAACGTCAGGTTCGGGCTTCACAGGTTGTTAACTGCAAGTAGAGGGAACTTAGAAGAGTTCAAGGGGTAAATATAACGCAGTGTGCCAGGTGGGTGTTGTAAGTATTTGGGAAAGGGGTCTGTGATTCAGTTGTCATTCTCTTCGTGGTTGCCTCCCACTGGGGATTAGCGGGTGAAGGGGTGCGGGGAGAAGGGTGCATACACGCGGTTGCGCCTGACGAGATGAAAGTCAGACTAGCTCTTTCTCCTCAGCAGTCTGCCAGTACCAAGCTTCCTGTGTCGAGGTATCGGCAATCCATGCTCTCTCCGATCCCGAATCAGCCACGAGTTGTCACGCTCGCGTGTGTACCTGTTTAATTGGTCATACGAATTGTGTTTCTTGGTGCATAACGCGGAAAGGCTCTTCCGCAGAACAGAGTGGAATCTCACATATTGGGGACTGAAGAACCAAGACTTGCATCGTCAGAGTTTGTTACAGTGAGTAAAATGGGTACCATTGCTTTTTTCGTATTGTCATGGATTGTGCGCTATTCAGTTTGTTTGTTGATGACGATTTTATTGGTACTTCTGAAGATTTGCGATTTATATGGCAATATTTTATTATATGTATTCAGCACATATAAAACGGTGTTTATTGTGTTAATGACATCACATCTATAGAAGCAAGCGAAAATCTAGTATATTTTATATAGAGTAAGCATTTAAACTCATTTGCATGCCTCTTTCTGACCCGCGTATACGTACAGTCACTCCCACACTTTACTTACTGTACGTACAGTATATACGTGTATAATCATGTATAACATAAACATAGTTTATTGAAGAAATAGAGCGTTTTGATCCTACATGATGGTTTACTACAACTTGGAATACTTATATGTTCCAAATATAGTACTTGCGATTTTGCAGTGGTCATTAGCATTGCTAATTAGCTTCATATAAACATTTGTTTCTCATGGTAGTTGTTGTTGTTGGTTGTTAGTGTCTCGAACTATATCGCGTCGAATGGTAAAATGATTGCTGAATAATAAACTGAAAATAATTTGGTAAAGGCGGCTGTAGCCGAGCTAATGTTCCGTTAGATATCTTTAAGGACTTTGAAGAACCAAGGAAAATCCCAAGAAAACTAGTGTTCCAGAGGAACTGGGACACGGTACCCCCAGAATACGAGTCTAGATACGAAGCGCTACTTCAGTCTCTTCGACATGTATGTTGTTGAAAAATTAATGTAACAAACATATACTTTGCACCACACACAAACAAATATATATGTGCTGTATCTTGTCAGATATAATTCTCATACTGTGGTTTTTTGAATTCTGACACTGCAGTCTCGAAAGGTTGAGCTAACGAGGATATACTGTCTTGTGATTCTTGCGTTTGGAAGAATAAAATACGTTGGCTTTAGCACACGCAAGACAGCAGAGTATCATATTTAGAACCTCGTCACAATTTTTCAAATATAATTATGCCGAAAGGAACTGAACTTACAAATTTTACATATAAATTACTTTCATATTTGCGTTCTCTGCTGTATTTTGTATATAAACTACTTTTGAGAAATTTGGTTCATTTAGATTTTATTTTCGTACCAAGTTCTTTCATTGGAATGATAAAAGACCTAAATTTAATCCATTCCTGAAGGTTAGTGATGACTGAAACAACAAATGTCAACAAAATTTCGTTATTAGTCTTGAAAATGTTGCATGCGGGATGGAACAGGTTAGCTTAGCAGTAACGCTGTAAGTGCTCAATCCGAATCTTGCCTGGAAATGTATTTACTGTTGTTGCGGTTTTCGATTCTACCCTACAGCATGTATGTTCGGTCCCTTGATTGGTCAACGGCCGCTAAATTCCAAATCGTTTTCCTCATCCTATTTTTCAATGCTGTACAGTCTAACCACTGAAAGTGCCAAAAAATAAACTACAAAACACACATGCTAACTTACGGACAGAGGGTCGCAACTTCATCATTATGATTTCATTTTATCTGCTTCATACTAAGGCATAACAGGACTAAACTGTGGATAAACCTACAATGAGAGAAACTGGTCTCTAATATTGTAAGATTTGAGGCTTTCACGGCGGTGACTATGAAGAATGCAGTCTTCTGGGATTTGGCACCGTGTACATGTGGTGTTAACCGACGTTTCGGAGGAACGTATCGCCTCCATCTTCAGGGTAGAAGAAAAAGTATAAGAAATCTGCAAGCGACAAGACNTCAATTCTGAGAATTACTGTTTTCACAATGATTTAATAAAGATTTTTAAATGTATATAGTATTGTATATTCACGAGACGAATATAAATACATCATGTTGTTTTAGCATATACGCCTTTGATAAAATACCACATCGCTTTATTTCGCTCTCTGTGTGGAGGAAACAACGTAAATGCTACATGGCCTGAACTGGATTTGAGCTTTTGTCTTGATGTATCAATAACTTGGTTGAAATACGCCCCGTATTTTGTGATAACAACATTGAGGTCCCAGTTGTGGAAAGCGATAGATTTAGCTGATGTAGTTCTCGTATTTTTATCACGTCTTCTTTAATTCCTCCGTTCGAATCCTTAAGAATTACGGAAATCAAACTTACCAAATTTAAGACTCAGTTCTCAGTTTCATGTGTTCTGCATATTTTTAATTCATTAGTAAGCAATAAAAATAAATAAGCCATTAAGTCCAAGGGGGATTATCTTCAAATTTTCATGCATTGCATAAACGAAGATTGTTCTTTAAACGAGTTAGATTAAGACGCTTATTATTAATTCGAACTAAGTCCAAGTTCAAAAGGGATATCATTAATGAGAAAGAAGGCGATAGATTAGATTCTAAATGGTTATGACAGTGGTGTATAATATTCAGAATTATTGGGTTCTTGGACCTTGTCCATCGTCCGGTGCTCTAGAAACTAGAAAACACAATGTTTCGTTTATGGGATCTGATTCCTTCCTCAGGTGAGGGTTAGAAAACACCCACTCTATTGCGTTCCTTAGAAAGAACTAGCCTCAATTACAGGACTGTGGATGATCTGTTATGATCTGTTCTTTCCCCTGCGACAGGATGAGAAGCAGATAAATACGGAGCTTCGAGGAAATGGTGATTGAAAGGGGAAATGCAAAGAACCCTTATATATGCATCTTCACCATCGGTTTCTCCACCGCAAATCCTATATGAACAACGTTCTAATTGAACACAAGTCTCCCCAGTAAGAAACCTTAGCTGTAACACAGCCGACTCTGGGGGTTAAAAAAGATAATTGGATAGTTAATTCTTCTGGAAAACACAGCTTGTTAACTCTTAGTCCTACCCTACCAACGAAATGCATCGATTGCACAGGCTTGTTCTGGTCTTGGCTAACGCAAGGCAGAGGCAAAGTTCTGGAAACTCCGACTTTACTACCAAAGACTACTATTGCTTGTGCCAAGACTTCGCAGTCACATCTGCGCCTGCCTCAGGAATTACATTCCCTTGCAGTTTCCGACGGGGTTATATTTGCTTCCATATATTCAAAGAGCATATAGTTATCAGTACACTAGGGTATTCTCTGCATCTCTCGAAACTTCATGAAAATGTTAGAACATTAGTATAATAATCTATTTCTTCCATTATGGGGACTTGAGAATAATTTTGTTATTATGAAACCCATATCCACTTCTTTATTTATATATTTACTGTTCATTTGACGCCCGTCTCAGTACCCCAGGCTCTCATATGCAGCATCGAAATGTAGGACCCGTTGTAAGTAACGGATCCGAAATGTGAAGCAGAGCTATCGCAGAATGAATCGAGATACTTTCTAGGCATTTCCCTGGAGCTACTGAGGAAAGCCGCAAAGCTCCTGCCATCACAGTTGCTTTCCGTTCTCCAAGATGAAGCACAATAGATCACTGAAGGTCGTGATGCAAGGGCCGAGAAGGGCCACCCCTTATACATTCATTCATTCTCCAAGATAGGACCCCAGGGCACCAAGCAGAAGTGGCGCACACGATAAGGAGTGATTACTTTCTAAAAGCAGCAAGACGCAGGTGTCTTGTAGCACTCATACTTAAACATGAAGACACCGATTATGTATTCGAGAACGGGACTAGGGACACAGTCCGAGATTCTCACGGGTTGTCTCACTATTTTCACGAAAATAAGGTTTATTAATTAAAATATAACAGAAATGCTTCATTACACATCTTCAGCTAAGCAACAGCAGTCATTATCATTTAAATCAGATTTCAAAAAAATGTCTGCAAGCAAATGTAAAGTGGATGTAGCATCTGAGTTATTCTTCATGATTTATGTATTATTATTGAAAGACATATACTTTAATGCAAAGAAGTACAATCACGCTCCAGCCCTGATTAAGTCTCTACAAATGCGAGGCTACGTTCTATGAAGTTAGCATGAAATATTCTTTCGGCCCACGTAATTTTGAAAGGAATACTTTTTCAAGTTTACCCAGTTGAAGAGACAAAGCAGTAGCTTCTTCTGATCAGCAGGGGCTAAAAGATTAATCTTTGAACTTACATTTTACTTTAAAATCGGTTTATCATAATCCGTTTATGAAGAGGGCACCATAAAATGTTACCGAATGGGAGTTTGAGGACAAACAAACGAAGGGCCATAATCCTTTTCTTCCCCCATTAAACTCTTTTGAACAAGGGGAGTTCTCTCGTTGAGATAACTTCATAGGCCAGCGTTAGGAAATACTTATGAACTATTAAGCCACTAGTATTTACGGAATTATGTATTATTCGTGGATATAAGATCCAGAATATATAATAATTACTTACATATTTATATTTTTGAAATGTAGCAAGGCCATACACATTTCCTTCATCAGTACAAAAAAGGTGGCAGACTTTATTCGGATTTATTTGTTGGTGAACTTCACTGCTGTAATGTAAAACCTTACTTCAGATCACGAGAGTGAAAAGGATGTACATATATAATTAACTGAAGAATTAAAGTGCTTCAACACGTCTGGCATTATATGCAACATAAACTTGAATACATGCGTTTATAAAACGTAGTAGGCATAGTTCGTATATTTTCTGTATTCATTTCATTAATCATTTTACACTGGGCAATATTTAAATTCGATTATGCGGGCATAGACCTAAATATTCTCTTGGTAAATATTTGATAAAGGAAAGCACTGAATTTTGCAAAATGTTAAAAATAAACGTCGATTGTTACTTCAATTTGAAATAATCAGTGAATTTATTTAGGTATCTATTTTTAAATTTTGCATGAATTTTGCGATTTAAATACTTAATCTCTTTTCGAACTTTAAAAAAGGCGACAAATTGAAGCAAATCATGAAGGATAATCAACAGAATATTCATTGAAGTTGTTTATTTATAGGGAATAAATTTATAATTTTTGTTATGGAATAAAAAGGCAAAGCCATCCCTGTAACAGGCCTTCAAGGCTCATAGCGTCACGTCGAGGCTCCTACATCTTCTCTAGACAGCCGGCTCACA